TTTTTTTTTTTTTAGCAATTTTTAAAAACGTAAACAAAAGGGAAATGCATGACTCCAGAAATTTAGTTTTAAAACACTATTTTATTTTTAAGCCACATGTATGATCTTGGTACAATTTCAAATTCTTTCGATGTTCTGTAAAATTTTAATTTGTTTTGACATTGTTTTTTTTTTTAAATCTACACAGTCGAAATTCTGCACAGTTTTCATAATTGCTGTGATTTATTCATTTATTTATTTTTACAAATTTCTAGGTGGTAACCAAAGAGTAGCCAAATTAAATGTTATTTGGTGCATCTTAGGCCGGCTCTGTGGAAATCTTTGAGATCTGGACAGGCCAGTATGTCAAAAAGAAAAAGAATGTCATACATCATCCACTAAAACACAATGTTAAAAGGACTTTCTAAACAGTCTTTAGGGAAAGCAAAAAAGTACATTTTCCATATTCTTTGAAACAAATCTTACTGGAAGCCACCATGCATTCCTCTGACCTTGTGCTTTTTAGCAACAAACAGACATTTTACTCATATTGGGTTTTAACAAATATTGGTATTTGACAAATACTGAAATCAAAATTTGCCGCTGGCAGACAAGATTATTTTGCCCTAATGGGTGCAAAGAAAAACAATGTAGGATTCCATTATGGCTTTAAAAAAGCCAACAGTTAACTCTTTCCACTTACTCCTTCTTCTGATTGGCTAAGAGCGAGGCCTCCCACTGCTGTGCCATGACATTCTGACGACGTGGAACTGAAAACAGGGAAAGGGGGAACTGGAAGGAAGGGGAAATTCAGCTAAACCACTGAAGCAGAGAGCCATGGATTAATGTATTAATGGATAGACGGACGGACGGACGGACGGACGGACGGACGGATGGACACAAGCATGGGTGGATCAAGTATTAGGAGCATGATTGAATAAAGAATGAAGGTGTAACAGGTAGAAAATGAGAAAAACCATGAACAAACTGATAAACATAATCAGTCCAATTGATTAACAAATCAGAAAGTTCACAATACAGTGCAAGAAATGAATAAATGAATGAGAAAAAAAATCAGTAACCTAACAGAAAAATCGGTAACACTTTATTTGAAGGGGTGTGCATAAGATTGACATGACACTGTCATAAACATGAACATAACATCTGTCATGAACATAAAGGAGTCTTTATGGATGTTTATGACTGTTGTCATGAAGTGTCATTCGGTAAATAATGACACTTTTAATGCAAAGTTGCTCTAAAAGTTGCATTGAAAGTCCATTAAAAATGCCAACTTTGCATTAAATTATCATAATTTACAAAATCATGCAAAGTTGGCAATTTTAATGGACTTTTAATTTAACTTTGCATTAAAAGTGTCATTATTTACCGAATGACACTTCATGACAACTGTCATAAACATTCATAGACTTCTTTATGTTCATGACAGGTGCCATGTCAGTCTTATGCACACCCCTTCAAATAAAGTGTTACCGAAAAATCTTATAACAAATGAGTCAGTTTATACAATAAATCATATTAACTCTTGTTAGTTTGAAGAAGACTGTTAAAAATAGATTATGATTATTTTTTTATGTTGGATTATGTGGTTGTCTGTCTCTCAAATGCATTTGTGAGTGGGAATGGATGAATATGACCCTAGTACAGGGGTCTTCAACTCCAGTCCTCAAGAGCGAGTGTCCAGCATCTTTTCAATATGTCTACGCTGCAACACACTTGAGTCAAATGATGGAGCATTAGAAGGACTTTGCAGAACACCGACATGCTGAGGAGGTAGAAAATGCAAGCCTCTCCTGGTTACATTCATATCTCAAACAGGCAACAAATCATCGGCATCAATATTTGCATCTCCTCCACTACCCTTCAATCACAAGGTGTTCCCCAGGGTTTGGTGCTCGGCGCTCTACTCTTGGTCCTGTAAAAGATAGCCCTAAGCTCCATCATCCACATTCACTGCTATGCCGACAATGTCTAGCTCTACATCTCCACCAAATCCATCAAACTGCATGTGACAGCTGTCTACCGTCACACCGAGATGTGAATAGTAACTTAATTTCTTCTTGTTTTGAATTACCAGTTTCCTTTGGAGCTGCTGGTGGAGTGGTGCATAGAAGAGTTCCAGCTGATTGCTGTGCTTATATGGCTGGCAAACCTCCTCAGCAGGTCATTCCATTTGTTTGCCAGGGAAAAGGGAAATTTGGTTTTCTTTAGTTTAATTTTACCATTTCTTTAATGTTTCTTCTTTTTGGCAGTTAGTTCAGTTCTAATAGTATTTATTTCATTAAAAATGTTGTATTGTGTTAACCAGTATTTCTATAAGTTCTTGTATGTTTAATTACCCCCTTGTGTGTCAGCAGTGGTCTGATCAGCTACTATTTAAGTTCCCTTCATGTCTTGTTTGGTCAATTTTGTGCTTGAGTTCTTTGTGTTACTACCCGAGTTGTAGTTTGTTATGTTGACCCATAAATTATGGATTGTTGGCCCCAATTCATAATTTTTTAATTATTTTTGGACTTTGTAAGAATTTTGTAATATTCTGTAATAAATTAAGAATATTTTTTGGAATACATTCAGCGTTTCTCTGATTGGTCTGTGTAAAACACTCGCACTGCATCTCACTCCATCCTGGCCAGCTGTCTTACTGAGATAAAATTATGGTTGTACTTAAAGTTCTTCAAACTCAACTGACACGTCAGACATCAACATCATTGGTCACCAATCCTTTATGTAAACAGGATAATTTTTTTCATTTTTGTTAGATTCACTTATTTAAAAATAAATCCTCTTTTTCTTAATTTCTTTAGCACAAAAATTAACCAAACGAGAACACCATTCTGTATTTGTTCTCGCATGGTTGTGACCTGGTGCCGTTACATCAGCGTCCTAATAGACAGCTGCCACTGTAGCAGCCTAGGTAGGAGACACTGCTGCAGGTAGGCTTCTAGCTGACTGTAAGCTTTTAGCAAATGTCTATAGTGCTGTCTGT